TTTGTCTAAACAGAACTACCGTTTACAATTTAATGAAAAGGGAGAAATATTACTAATCTTGCCTGAGAATGAAAGCCCAGGGATGAGTGACATTCAAAAGGAGGAGGCCCTCTGCCATATGCAAGCCCTTACTATGCCCCTTCAAAACTCTGTTCCATCAGGCCGCCTTCCACAGATATCACTTCTCAGATCCTAAAACCCTGTGGCCCACAACTTCTACAGACATTGGTCAAGTTCCACCACCGAGCCTATTAAAATTCAAATAGACACATCTAAGCCCTTGCCCAAGATTCCCCAATACCCCCTTAAACTAGTAGCAAAGGAAGAATTAACTACTATTATTTGGACTTTTCTCCTTAAAGGGTTAATTGTCCCCTGCACTACTTACTCCTTGCCACACTCCTGTCCTTCTAGTTAAGAAGCCAAACAATCAAGGCTGGAGATTTGTTCAGGACTTACACGCAATCAATCACGTTTTTATCCCTAGATTCCCAGTCTTTCCAAATGTTGTCCCTGATGTTGGCAGGCTTTACTGTGAAACAGAACTTTGTACTGCATATTTCAGTATTCCTTCAACGCTGAAAGCCAATATTTATTTGCTGGTGCTTGGGACAACCAACGATTTACCTGGATTGTTATGCCACAAGGATTCACAGAATTTCCCACATATTTTTCTCAGATTTTGCATGGAGACCCGCAAACTTTGCAATTCCAAACAAATCTACCTTATTACAATACGTCAATGATTTATTTGTGGGCTCCACCTCTCGACAGGCTTGCCTTGAGGACAGTGTAACCTTATTAAAACATTGAACTATTGGAGAATATAAAGTTTCTAGAGAAAAGTTACAATTCACACAGCCTTCTATCAAATACAAAGGTCATTTAATCTTTGCAGAGGCATTCCTATTGACCCCCAAGGGAAAAGAAGCTATTGCAGCCTTTCCTTCACCTAAAACAAAGAAACAAAGAGATTTTTTAGGACTCTGCAGTTACTGTCAGGCCTAGATTCCTAACTTCTCTCTTATGGCCTAACCCTTATACAAATATTTGAAAACCTCTGAGCTTGATCCATTCCATCTTACGCCAGAAGATCAAGGGGCGATGATTAAACTGAAAGAGGCTATGACTAACACGCCTGCTTTAGGGTTTCCTAACTATCATTTGGAGCCCTGGTGGTGCAGTGGCTAAGAGCTTGGCTGCTAACCAAAAGGACAGCAGTTCAAAACCACCAGATGCTCCTTGTAAACCCTATGGGGCAGTTCTACTCTGTCCTATAGGGTCGCTTTGAGTCAGAATCGACTTGACAGCAACAGGTTTAGTTTGGCTCTTGGTTATAACTCTAGGAAACATCTTAAGAATTTACCTGGGCAATTTACCCTTTGGACCTATGCCTGAATGGCAATTAGATTTTATCCAGCTTCTACTTTCAAATGGCTATAAACATGTTTTAGTAATGATGTATACATTTTCACATAAGGAAGACATTTTCCCCCGCAGACATGCCACTGCTTCTTTGGTAGCAAAAAAGCTCCTCGAAAACATAATACCTACTTGGGGAGCACTGAAAATTCTTTGCAGTTACTGGGGAACTCATTTTACTGAACATGTTATCCAAGAATTATGCCAAATCATCCCCATATATCAGATTGCATTGCTCTTATCACCCCCAGTCCTCTGGACGTGTAGAACGAACTAATGGTATAATAAAAACTAGTTTCTAAGCTTTCTGAATCCTTAGGTTTGTCCTGAAGTAAAGTTCTCCCTTTAGTCCTTTTAAATTTAGGAAGACTTTTCGATCTCATAAACTTACTCCTTATGAAAGTTAATGGAAGGCCCGTGACCCTTCCTTACATTGCCTCTACCAACTCTAACTTAATACAACCTGAATTACTGAAATAGTGCCAATTTCTAATACAATACTCTAAGAAACATTTTTCACAAATGAAAGACTTTGAAGAGCAAAAAGCTGGTTCTTTCCCTTTGCTTAATATTAATCCAGGAGATTGTGTTTACTGGAAAAGAGACTCTTTACAGCCTTGCTGGAAGTGGCCTTATCTAGTCCTTTTAACTACCCTTACGCAGGAAAGTTAGAAAGAATTAACCCGTGGATTCATTTATCACAGTTAAAGAAAGCTAAAGCACCTATCTGGACGTGTCAGCCAGCCAGAGATTTGAAACTCAGACTGAAACGCCTCAGCAACCAGAAGCTGGCTGCTTCAGAAGCAAGTAGCTGATTCCAAGATAGTGGAACAAGATTACATGCAAGATGCTGACATTTTTGGACTCTGTTTCCTAACTGCTGGTATGTTAACAGCTTTGACTGTTTCTGCACACTTGTGGAATTATTTCTTCATAGCTTTGATAATAATCAAATATCTTTAACCTGAATCCAAGTGAGTTAAACCTTTTATTAAAATTGTTGCACAGTTTTAATACTTGTAGCCTTTGAATCAAGTTTTATCAACTTTAGCTCTTCCCCTAGTATACTACTAGAAAAGTAATTTCTTTTATAATGTCATATCATTTTTAACAACTGTCTTCTCCCTTATGAAGTTTTTAATAAGTATTCCCTGTTTATTATGACCATTACTGATACATGGAATGAAAATGCTTTCACCAAATTAACTCAATCAGTAGCCAGCACCAGTAATTTAACTGAACGTTGGGTATGTCACTCCCCTCCTCTGTCTACACAAGAACACACCGATCCTCTTGTTGTGCCAGTCTTGGATTGTAGGTTCACACCTAATTTTACTATTGACATTAAGAAACTATTTAAACAGGATATTCATGTTAGATTATGGCTACTTCCAGAATTATTCACTTATCCATTAGCTCCGTTTCAGTATTATTCATGCCTGGTTAGAATGTTTTATTCTTTCCACACCATGCAGTCTTTTCATTAATGATGCTCGAAATCATCCTGCAGTAGCAGATAACTTTTTAAAATGATCAAAATCTCCCAGTTTGTGCCCAACTCTGGGATCCCCTAGAATATAGAGAATTATCCATTTGTGAGGATTCATTAACTGCAGACTGGCTTGAAAGGGCCAATCACACCATTCCATTTCCTAATTTTCAAACTGGGGCAGGTATGTTATACACCCCATCTGAATATGTCTTTTTATGTGCAAGATCAGTTTATTTAGAAGAAAAACGTTCAATGATTCACCCTATACTTGGCCCTTGCCACGCTTCGATGGTTGGAATATGCTAGGCTAATGCACCTTATGTACCCTTGGAGTTCCCATAAGTATCCACTCATAAATGATAGTTTACAATGGAACAGTGATTTAAAGTTAATATCCATACAGAAAAGAGAACTTGTCCTCTCAGATAATCCCACTGCTGTTAATCCTGAAGGGGGTTGTTTTCATTTCTTCAAGTGCTTGTTCCCTCTTCCAGTATATTACAATTAGAACAATCTATTTGCAATTTATCTGCCACTATGGCTCAAATCGCTGATAACGTTGCTGACGGAATGACAGCTCAACAAAAATTCTTAGAATCTCTTGCTAAAATTGTTTTAGGTAACAGAAAAGCTCTTGACTTCCTCCTAGCTCAACGAGGAGGACGAGTCTGCTACTGCCAATAGTTCTTGCTGTTCATGGATAAATATCTCTGGGGAACTAGAACAAGACAAATCTGAAATATACCTCCTGGTTACATACCATTCCCCCCATGACTATTCTTTGATATTTTTAGCTGGTTACCCTAAAGAATTGGATCTGGGATACGCTCCTTTCTACTGGCCTGTTTACTCTTTTAATCACTGTAATTATTACCATAGGGCTTGTTAAACGTATTACACACTGCGTTTCTCATTGCCACAGCCAACCCTCGAGACATCTGTTGATGAAAATAATTACGTGGCTGCAACAGTGGACTCCAGCATAACAACAATTATGAGGATGGCGCAAGACCGGGCAGTGTTTCATTCTCTTGTACACAGGGTCGCTATGAGTCAGAACCAACTCAACGGCACCTAACAACAATTTTTCAAAGGAAAATGAATTTTAGTTCTGGGATCAGACCTTTTTAGAAATGCCAAGTTACTCCTCTAATACAGCTTTGTCTGCAGACTTGCCCCAATCAGAATCAACTCGCCCTGAAGACGAGGCCCGAAGCTATAGCAAGGTGAAGAGGGGACCTGAAGGTATAGCAAAGCAACACGCGATGGTGCCCACCCACCTCCAGTAACACAGCTGGTGTCTGAGGTCTTAAAAACTTAAACAGAGCAGTCATCCTGAGATACTAAGTCCTTGCAAAAGATGGGTAACTCCTTTGTGGGTGATCTGCACCGCCTAGTGGTGGCTTGATCAAAAGGGGGAAGTAATGTGTCCAGACCCCACAACTGAGGTGCTTGATATGACTAATATGGCTGTCCCAGATCTAAATTAAAACTCCATTTTGAATCAACACTGCAGTTTGACCTAAAATCACTGCTCCTGCTCTCCTGACAAGACAATTTAGTTTCTTGTAAAAGTTTTAACTGCCTATAACACAGAAAGAAGTGAGGGTCAGGACTTTAACTTGTACAGGAATTGTCTGTTAAAAGATGTTTGCCAAAGAATGTTTACACAGCTTGATCCAAGAAGAATGCCTTGGTCAACATGCTCTAAGAGGCTAGAAAATAGAATTGATAATGTTAAGAAAGTATGCTAAGAAAAGGCTGTAGTTTAACGACCCTCTTATAACTTTTTACTGTGTACCCCCACCCTCTGTGCCTGTGGGCTTGCTTCACCTGATAAAGACCTCACTGCTCTCCCTGCAATGTGGAATACTGTGACATCCTGCTTGGATGTTTAAGTGTATCTCAATTTGCAAATCACTACATTCCACAATAAAACTTTTTGCTTTCACTTCTAACAGAGTGTAAGACTGATGCTTCACTACAACACAACTTAAACTCACCTTGCCTTCCAGCAACTAAAACTTAACTTTAAAAAACTTACAACATACATGTCTAAAGCTCAAAGAAATGTTTTAAAATCTACCTTCCACAGGACACTCAAATGGCTTTGTGCCTAGGTGGGTTATACTGTGGCCTTTCAAATGTTCTGCTCTCGTGAATGATTTCCCACAGCCTTCCACAGGGCAGGTAAACCTCCGGTCATCATCATGTTTCCTGCCAGACAGGAAGAAAAAAAAGGGAACAGTGATTACTCACACAACTCAAAGGCACAAAGTCTCTGAGACAATTCTTTGTTCAAAATTGTTAAAGAGGAAAATTAACAACAGACATCTCACTTAGATTTTAAGGTTTTTCTTTCCTATGAAGTCAAATATTAACCATAAAAATTCCTGACCAAATTCTTCCAGTGGCTTTTTTCACGCAAAGTTGCTAATCTTTCCTTTCCCCTTCAAAGCCCGGCTTACTTAATTTAAATTTCAAAAGATATCAAAGCTGCAGGTGTGTAGAAGGCCAGAGACCACCTAGTGACCTAGTATCAGTTGATCTCAGTAAAAGGGGGAGGGCAGGGTTCAATTAATCATGTTAAGAGTAACCAATAGTTGACCTTCTATTCTTCACTCTCCTCTTCCCTTTATAAGCCTTATTGAAACCAGCCTACTTTGAGCCATTTGCTTTTTTTTTAATAATCAGAATGGTCTCCTTATATGCATTCAGAATAAACCCCATGTTTCAAATTCTTTGAGTTTTGATAATTTTTAATGAAATTTTGCAAAATATACAAAAGTACAAGCTCTATGCATTTAAAAAACATCAGTACACTTCAAAAATCTTAATTCTGCCTCTAATCTGTGTGGGCAGATCTGCAATTTAGCTACCCTGTAATTAGAAATTCTACTTTAATGACTAAGTTGATCTCAGAGTCAGACACAGAACAATTAGTGCTACTACAATCTGGAACAGCTGAGTCCTAAATGTATTGATGAGGTTGCTTCCATTGTTTAAAAATCCAGATGATAAACAAGCTTCCCCAGCTACAGATTTCAACCAGAAATGTACACAAAGTGGGCTGCAAGTCTTAACTTGGTACTGTTAAGTCGATTCCGACTCATAGCAACCTTATAGGACAGAGTATAGCCAATATGGATATGCTGTCTTTTCCTGAGTAACATTTTTATATTAAATCCCTCAATGCCAGGTATGTAACCTTGGATAAACCACCCAGCATTTCTGAGTCTCGACATAAAACAGGCAGAATGAGTACACCAGCTTCAAAGTTGTGAAGATTTAATGAGATACACAAGTAAAGCACTTAGCCTCCTCTAGACGCAGGCTGAGTGCTCCAAAGGCGTCAGATCAGTATGAAGTGTCTGTATAACGTAAGGAGAGCTTATTTTACAATGTTCAGTTTTTAAAAAATACAAATTGTATATAAGATACCCTAATTAAGTTATAAAAATATACCTATATACACATACAGAAAAAAATTACTTTTAGTGATGACATTCTCAGTGATTTTCTTTTCATAGTTTTCTGAATTTTCCAAATTGTCTACATTGAGTTTCTAGTTTTACAACAAAACTACAGAACACTTCACCAACGAGGACATTCAAGCGGCCAACAAACAAACCAAACCCACTGCCGGTGAGTCAATTCCGACTCATAGCAACCCTATAGGACAGCGTAGAACTGCCCCTAGTTTCCAAGGCTGTAATCGTTATGGAAGCAGACTGCCACATCTTTCTCCCATGGAGGAGCTGGTGGGTTCGAACCACCTACCCTTTGGTTAGCAGGTAAGCACTTAATCACTGCACCACCAGGGCTCCTCCCTATTAGCCATTAAACCAAAACCAAACCCATTGCTGTCGAGTTGATTTCAACCCAAAGCAGCCCTAGAGGACAGAGTATAACTCCCCCATAGGGCTTCCATGGAGTGGCCGGTGGACTCGAACTGCAGACCTTTTGTTTAGCAGCCGAACTCTAAAGCACTATGCCACCAGGCTTTCCTATTAGCCATTAAAGAAAAAAAAAAAAACACAAATCCATTGCTGTCGAGTCAATTCTGACTCATAGAACTGCACCATAGGGTTTCCAAGGAGCGCCTGGTGAATTCAAACTGCCAACCTTTTGGTTAGCTGCCGTAGTGCTTAACCACTACACCACCAGCGTTTCCTATTAGCCATTAGAGAGATACACATCAAAACTACAATGAGATACCATCGCATCCCTGCAAAAATGGCACTGACTACAAAGAAACAGAAAACAACAAATGCTGGTAAAGTTGCGGAGAGATTGGAACCCTTATCCACTGCTGGTGGGATTGTAAAATGGTACAACCACTATGGGAAATGGTATGGTGTTTCCTCAAAAAGCTAGAAATAGAAATAACTTATGATCCAGCAATCTCACTTCTAAGTAGATATCCTAGAGATCTGATAGCAGTGACACAGAACAGACATATATGCACACCTATGTTCACTGCAGCATTATTCACAATAGCAAAAAGATGGAAACAACCTCAATTCCCATCAACAGATGAATGCATAAACAAAATGTGGTACATACGTACGATGGAATACTACGTACACAAAATAATGATGAGTACTAGAAACACAGTAAAACATGGAGGAATCTGGATGACATTACGCTGACTGAAATAAGACAACCACAGAAGTATTATATGATTGCACTTTTATATGAAAAGTATATATGCATGTATACATATATGGACGCACGTGTGTGTGTATGTGTATACACACAGAAACGCTGGTGGCGTAGTGGTTAAGTGTTACGGCTGTTAACCAAAAGGTCAGCAGTTCGAATCCACCAGACGCTCCTTGGAAACTTTATGGGGCAGTTCTACTCTGTCTTATAGGGTCACTATGAGTCGAAATTGACTTGACAGCAACAAGTTTCACGCACATACACACACACACACACAAACACACAGACCAACACTCATTGGTGGTTACCAGAGATGAGGTAAAGCACTCTCAAGATAGCAGACCCTTGTCAGTTTTGGTGACGGGAAAGATAGCATCAAATATGGGTGAAGTGCACAGAGCTTGAACAAGGTAAATGAGGTCACTATGAAGCGTGCAAGAGAAAAAGATGTCTTTGGTAAAGGATATGACAAATATAATTTGGAAACAACAACAACAACCAAAAATTATGGGTGTGGTTACACAAATATGTGTAAGTATGAATACGGGGATACATATGTGTGCACAAATAGAAGTACCTACTGGCATACGTTCATATAGGTGTGTGTGCATGAACATATATCCATATATGTAATAAACCATATAAGGACACAGGTATGGATACTTCTTAGACAGAACCAAATACCTTGTGAGATTGGTTTTCAGGGTTTGAAGACCTAGGACCACAGTCTCATGGGACAACTCAGTTAATTGGCATAATGTAGTTCATAAAGTGTATGTTCTACGTCCCAATGTGATAAGTACCGTCTGGGGTCTTAAAAGTTTACAAGCAGCCATTTAAGAGACTACTATCAGTCTCTACTCATCTGGAACAGAAGAGAAAGAAGGAAACGAGAGACTCAGAGAAGAAAGTAATCTACAGGACTAACAGTCTACATGAGCCATGGCCTCATCTATCCTGAGACCAGAAGAAGTAGTTGGTGCCCGGCTACCACTACCAACTGTTCTGATCAGGGCAACATTAGACCGATCCTTACAGGACAGAAAAAAAATGTGGAACAGAACTCAAATTCTTAAAAAGTCCAAACTTACGAGATAGGTTGAGACTGGAGGACTCCCCGGGACTATTGCCTTGAGATATACATTAAACCTTAAACCAAAATTATCCCTTGAGGTCATCTGTTAGCTAAATAACAGAATGGATCATAAAATGAAGATCATCACCCATGAAAAATGAGCTTCTTTAAAAAAAAAAAAAAAATCAACTACAGGAGACCAAAAGGTCAACAACTACTTTAAAGATGAGAAGGTTAGGGGTCAGGGAAACTATAGTACTGGAAATGGTACAACCAGAATGGAATGAATGAATGAGAATAACGACACATTGAGAAAGATGTAAACCAATATCACTGAATAATGTATGTAGAAATCGTTAAATGGGAACCTAATTTGCTGTGTAAACTCTCACCTTGAACACAATATTAAAAAAAAACTATAGATCCATAAGTTTATGCTACTGACAAATGATTCATTTTCAAAACTAATAATACATACCAAAATGTAAAGATTACCTTTTGTGCCTTAGGAGTTTAGACATGCTGGTGAAGGTCCAACCACAACTATCAGAGTCACAAACAAAAGGTCTTTCACCTTAGAGAAGACAAAATGGCAGAGCATCATTATAAACGTAACAGCTACTATAAAGACAAATCTTGTGTCCAAATGCCATTGCATTCTCTATCTCATTTACCTGTATGACTTCTCAGGTGAATTTTCAGCCGACAGGCTTTGTCATACTGTTTGCTGCATCCCGGAAAGGAGCAAGAAAAGAGTTCTTGTTCCCTGAAATGGGCTCGATTATGGGAAAATAGAGCACTCACTGTGATAAATGTCTTCTCGCAGCCTGAACAAAGAAAAACAAGCTCTGCTCACTGGTATGGCAAAAATCATTCAACAGAGTTAATGCTAGTCACAATGCCAAGACACTGTTCATACTGAGGTATGCTTCATTCAGACACACCTCTAAAAAGATACAGCCTTTAATGTTTGGCTTTGTAATAGCTAAAGTAGGGGTGGTCAATGGCAGGCAATAGGCACAACCAGACCACGTCTGGACTTCCAGATGGAGCCACTGATCAAGAGAAAGTCCCCCATCGCAGCCATCTACTGGCCCATTTTGTAGCCCAGTCCCTGCAGGGTCAAATGTCAGTGCTGCTCCCGTGACACCCAAGAAAATCCGAGAGAAATTAAAAACAAAGGAAAGAGCCGTAGCCTCGTAAGGTTGAGCTTTGGAGGACCAGAAACTATTATAATACAGATTTCCTCACCCCTCGGAGCTGTACTGCAACCTTTACGATTGCATATGCAGACATCCCCTGCAGCTGCCACCCCCACCCAGTTCTTCTCACTGCTTTGTCAAAAAGAGTCATCTCCATTCACTCGACTTTTCCCACCTCCATCTTCAGCCCCCAGGGCTGAGCCACCAGACTAATAAGCCCACCTCAGCAATTCCCAAACTCCCCACAACAGTGGTTCTCCTTTGACAGAAATGTTCAGTGCTCAAATAAGGTGGAAACTCTTAGGTTGAAAGATGTTTAACAGGTTTTCTTGTTGCAGCTCTTCTCGGAGCCTTTAACATGCTACCACTGTGCCTGTGAATCACCAAGCAGATATATATCACAGAGCACTGCCCAGGAGTATCAGACCACAGAACCCTACTTCCCCAGCAACACTTAACTGGGTAATGCTGATCTTCCTAAATGCCCTGAAATCATCGTCTCTGTCCTCAATCTGCTCCCCGGTCCCACAGGTTCCCTATTTTGGGCTTTGGTGTATTATCTCAGTCAGGTAAAGTGAACGCTGTGGATCACTACCTTAGCAAGACCACCTCACTGCCCACCTTCCGTTAGTAACCATGCCCTTTCATTCTGTCTCTGCGATATCTTACCTACGTGGAGATATTCCCCATCACTACCTGGTTCGGGCCCTCAATAATCTCATGTCTGAGTATTTAATGCTGTTTCACTGGTCTCTCCTGCTTCTGCCCATCTCACACACTGAAGCCCCCACTGATCATCCAACTCAAAACCCTCAGGGTACTCATGCTAGATCCCTGATCCTCCCACTACTATACACAGAATGATGCTCTTAGTGCATTTTACTTGGGAGAGGGTCTATAGCCACCATCAGATTCCCACAAGAATGTATGACTTTGACTGAAAAAGGTTTTAAATCAGTGGCCGAAAGTCATGTTCTCCACAAGGAGGGATGTACGAGACAGTCCACTGGCATAGGAGGTCCCCCACCCTCTATTTGGCCCTCCAGCATCCTTCCAACTTTACTCCCTGCCCCCTTACCAAAGCCCACATTCTCCAAGCGGCTCCACCAGACTCTGCGGCTTTCACCCGCCTGCCCTGCTCTCCACCCTATTTTCCCGACTATATCCTACTCCTGTCTCCTGCTCCAAAAGTGCCTACTTTGTCTACAGCCCTCTTGCCAGGAATCTTCTCTTCCTCCTCTGGAGGAGCACTGTCCCTCCAGGAGCACCTCAGCCTCCCTGCCCTGGTGTCTTACACCTGCCCCCAGCTGCAGGCAAATACAAGAAAAAGAATTCATGCTGGTTTCATCCACATCTCTGGGCCTCAGTTCTTTCACGTGTAAGACGAGGATACTTTTAAAACCTCAAAAAATTATGAAATTCAAAGGAAATAAAAGTATACAAGGTGTACGTGAATTCTCTGTACTTCCTGCCCAATTTCTCTGTAAACCTAAAACTGCTCTACAAAATAAAGTCTACTAATTAAAGAAAAAGTACAAACGGCACAAAAACTGTGTAGTACCACCCTGTGACTATACCTTCAATGTTGTTACTGTGCTTTAAGGCCTTGGCCCTGGCCACAGTCACCTCTGTCCATCTGGCACAGTGTGCACCCCGCGCATATTTGATTTTTAAATGAAAAAAATAGGACCTGACTCATAACTCAGTACAACCGGCTGTGCAGAGAATAAGCACTTCCACTAACTAAAGCAGCTGATATGGCTGTGTTGCCTACACCATTCGGAAAGAGAGCTGTGCTTATTTGTTCATACCGCACAGACAAATGCCCGCACAACGAGGGGTTAGGATTTCAAATGCAGCCACCTGCAAAAACAATACCAACGGATGCCTGCATTCCCGCCCCGCACACCTGGATTTTGTAGCCCTCAGGGCCGGGCAGTCGCCGTCGGGGGCTCGCCCGGCCCCCCGCTAGCCCTTGCAGCCCGCCCTGTGCCCGCCCCCGCCGGCATCGGCGCGTGGTTACCGGGAAAATCACACTTGTACGGTCTCTCGGGCTCAAAGTGGCTGCGCTGGTGGGAACTGAGCTTGGCGTGCGTGGGGAAGCGCTCGGCGCACACCTCGCACTTGAACAAGTTCTCTTGCTCGTGGCCCTTCATGTGCGCCTTGAGGTTGTAGATAGTGGTGAACTTCTTGCCGCAGGCACCCACGGGGCAGCTGAAGGGCCGCAACTTGTCGTGCGACTGCAGGTGCCGCTTGAGCTTGTAGGAGGTGGTGAATGCCCAGCCGCAACCGTCCAGCGGGCACTTGAAGGGTCGCCGGCCCTGGCTGCCTCCGTGGGTCAGCAGGTGTACCTTGAGCTGATGCTTCCTGGCAAAGGCCTGCGCGCACTGCGGCTCGGGGCAGCGGTAGACCCGCGCGCCCGCGCTCCCTCGGCGGCCCTCGGCGGCGCTCGCGGAGTCCTGGCCC